AAAAGTCCACCAAACTATTCATGGATCTGGCATAGACTATTTCATCAACTAGAATCTTTTTGCTTTTCTTTTATATTACAGGATCAAGTTCAGAAATAAGAATCATCAAATCCAGCAATATCCTCCAACAATGGGATAAGATATTTCCCTAATTGTGTTGTGTCGTGGGAAAGGATACATTTCCCAAAAAAATTAATTACCTGTTTTAAATTTGGACAAACTACAAAGCATCTCTGACCTTTTATAGTAAACATTAAAGAGGATAAACCTTATAAGCATAAAAATTGTCAAAACAAACTACTCATCTTGAAACTATATCTAAACTGCATAATAAAACAGGAGGATTAGAGAGTCACATTCAGCAATAGAAAAGCACAAACTTAACAAAAAATCGTTATAAATCAACATCTTCTAAGCATTGACATAATGATACAATTATTAAATTAAATTAATTTTTAAATCAAAATAATATTACTCATACTCATAAGCTATTTCTTCTCTCTCTGAAATTGATGGGATTCCAATTCCAGCCTATTAATAAAGAGAGTGAGGGACAAATGACTGTTATGCCATAAAAAAGAGGAGGGAGCAACTGGATATTTATTCTTTTTGAGGATGATTGCATATGTTTCTAACAATTATAATTTTTTAAACTCAATTATAAGTTTTTGAAGTACAAATAATTATAATTTCACCTTACACTATTATAAAATGTAATTTCTCATTTAAAAATAGTAACTTTTAATTCGTTATCAGAGTGCTATCCTACATTTTTAAATACTAATGCAATTACAATGGCAATCGTCTACCTCTGTAGCTAAAGATTAAAGAACCGGTTTATACAAAATAACAATCATAAAATAATTTAGTTTCTCCAATGTCAAGGTGGGCCAAGGTTTTCAATTGACTTAATAGCCATTGTTACACTTCAAGATTGCGACATTGAACCTTATACTAGTGTATGACAAACAAAAACTATGTCAAGTTGGGTCAGATATTATGAGGTTCACATCAAAAATTAATGAATGAAAATTGCATTGTTTCGCTCCAAGAAAAAATATACTAAGATAGTTAGCTCATCATTATTAAGAGCCCGAATTATAGAAAGAGCACAAAAATAGTACAGACCTCTCTAATCTCCCACCAAGAACAATAACAATAGAAAGAGCACAAAAAGGGAAAGTTGCATTGACAACACCTTAGTTTTGCTCATATAACATGGCAAGGCCTTAACATGGAGGAAGCCCTTGACATTTGAGAAATTAAATAAAGGATAAGAGTTTTTGTCAATGAAATAGTCATTTTACCTAATTTGACTAATTTAAAACTTATACAATACATCAAAAATTGGGACAAATATTAAACTTAAAGATTGATTTTGGCCAATACATACTTGATTAGGTGCTCCGTTTACAACAAACAAAACACAATTTTTTTTCTATGACCATGCACAAAGTTAGGTGTTTCATGTATTTTCGAACTGTCTTTCACATCGTAATCTTTAAAATGCTTTTTCAAAACTCTTCTTGCACCATAAACTCCAAAACCTAGAAATATTTGACAATAATGACAGCTTCTATTTGAACAAAATAGATAAAGACTTACCAAAATTTCAAAATAACATTAAATATGTTGAAAACCAAATCACTTTAGGAGAACTTGCCATGAAGCTAGCTAGATAATACTAACTTCTACCAGAAGCACTACAATCCAAATTCATCTTCAATTTCAGGAAGATTAATGGCATGATGCATAAATTAGAAAAGCACTCAAGAAAAGCGAGGAGGCTATGAGAAAACCTTTTGGTGTTAAAAGCTTCCAATATCTAGTGTAATTTAGCAAAAATTACAAGGCCAGGCCCTCTAGCATTTGGTCAGTCATTCCAACAAACACTTGGTGTCCAAAGTGTGTGGGTTTGTTTGTGATGTGTTGGGTGTGTTGGGTTTATATCCAAAGTGCAACAAAATCCAACAGGTTAATGGCAATGCGCATAACCACCACCTTGAAGTAGCTTAAAGTGCAACAAAATCCAAACCCAAAAGAAATAGAGACATAAATCATCAAACGGAAGTGCCAAAAAAATTATGTGATTGCGTGTGTATGTGACTGTGATTGCGTGCTCTGGCTGGGTGGAGGTGTGTTTGTGTTTGTTCAACTTTGTGTGTGACTGTGTGTGTGTGTGCACAGAGAGGGAGAGGGAGAAGAGCTTACCTGGTTGGGTGGGGGTGGCCAGTGAAGGGTGAGAGGGAAGAAGAGACAGATAGAGAGACGAAGAAGAGAGACGTTGATGGTGGTGGTGGTAGTGGTGGTGTTGCTGACGAAATAGCACTGCTGGTGGTGGTGTCGCTGGGTGTAACACACACAAAGAGAGAGAGAAAGAGAGAAAAAAAAAAAGAAACAACAGTGAAGGAGAGGCATGGCTTGAGAGAAATAGGGGGAGGTTGCATCTCTGACAAATGAAGTGATTGAGGGTGGTCTATTTTGAAAAATAATGAGTAAAAAGAGATGAATTTGGGGGGAAATGAAAGAGTATTAATGGCCATTGGATGAATGAATTGATTTGAGGCCGTTAGATGTTGATGTCGCCCTATTTTTTATTATGTGTACAACTTCATCGTTCTCTGTGAACAAAGAATGACCTTTCAACAAATAGATTGTTATTTTCACTTCGATTCTAAGATAAAATTATCTATTACTTTGAAAACAAATTGCCGCTAACACGAGTTTTTTTTTATTGTGTTTTCCATTTTGTTTTTTTGTGTTTGGTGGGTAACATTGGCTAGATGATTCTATGAATAAACAGCTAGGTGCAGATATAATAAGATAAGAATTGTAGAGAATTTCTCAGGGAAAGGCCTGCAGGTCCTTGTTCCTTATGTGCCTACTACCATCATCATCTTATAAAGAGTCTTTGGTACCACATGTTATTATAAGTATATTGTGCAATGTAAGACACAAACACAAACACAAACACTCTCTCTCTCTCTCTCTCTCTCTCTCCATCCATTTGTACAGGAATTCATATTCACTGCCATAATGTTATCTAACACAAGAACTCACCAAACTCCATAATTAAGAGTCAAAATTGAACCGGACTGGACCAATCAAAGGTCCATTGGGTTGATCATATTGGACTTGCAAACTAACGAGAACCACATTTTAAGTTTTACTATTCAAAATTGTTTATGTGGTAACTGATACGAACTAGAAATTTAAATGTCTTAAGTTTTAATCTTGGCAGCACCTTCGGTTAGGCTGTAAGGGATTTATTCCTCATAAATATCTTAGTTCTGACGTAAATAACCTACTTTTGACCGGATCGATAAAGAGATTAATTGAAGTGTGCGTAAATTAACTCAAATATTCCTAAATATTAAAAAAAGTCTTACTAGTCAAATTAGAGAATAACAAAATTTCATTTTTTGAATTCTAGCAGACAAGTGGCTAGAGTTGCCCATGGGCCGGCGGTTACTCACAGATCTCGTTACCTGACCCGAAATCTGACAGACCCTATAGTTGATATGCCCGAATCCGAACCCAATATCTTTAAAAAGAGAATTTGAATTTACTTCCAAACCCACTACCCTGCCTGAAGCCCAACCCAATAACCTCCCCTAAAAATCCATTAAAACCCGGCCTAAGAGTTCGCCTGCCAAGGCCAGCCCATCCACCCTTCATTTGAAGATAAGTTATATTTTTAAACCATTATATTTGAAACATTGAAATAAGTCTCCCAATGTCGGAATTTAAAATTTTAAAACTTTATATTCTATAAATAATGTATGATTTTTTTTTCATGTATTAAACATACAAGTTTTAAAGGGCAGAGTAATACAAATGATAAATAAGTGAATATGTGTTAACCTAATTGAAATGTATTCATTCTATTGGATATAGTTTATCCCTAATCAAAAATAAAATTATTTATTATTTTTTTTTATCTATTTTAACTATATTTTTGATTCAAACATATAATTTACATAAATATTAAATTACAAAAATATTCATTATTTTTAAATAAAGTTGAAAGTGAAAAAACCCGTTCACAGGCCCGCCCAAAAGGGCTACTCACATGCCCGTCTAATAGGCTGGTAAATTGAGCTGTAGATAGCCTACTCCTGGTTGAAGTCCTGTCCGATCCACCCAATAAGTTCCTTGAATAAAAGTAAGTTTAAGCCTACACTACACGGATCCGATCTAAAAAATATTTGTAAACCTAACCCAACCCGGCCCAGGACCAACTCTACCAGTGGTCACATTTGAGGGCCTTAAACAGACAAGATCGTCAGGCTCATAACATGACCTATGACCCTATCTACGTTAATGGGTCACCTGTGGGCTTCTATGTGATGATTCAGCCCAGATCCTGGCCAGATGGATTACTTGATTCAGGCCAGCTCAGAGGCCACACATCTGTTAAAATTAGTAACAAATGGTTTGAATCGAAATTTTAATATTTTAAAATATTTTAAAATATTCAGATATATTTAGATCAATATTTTAAAATATTTTAAAAATAAATTACTAATTTATTTTATTCATTTCTATTATGTTTTCAGAATGTTTCAAGTTGTTTTAAAACGTTTCTGCATGTTTCTAATAATGTTTTGAGGTGTTTCAAGATATTTTGATTAATACTTTGAAATATTTTAAAAATAAATTCTTAATTTTTTTATCCGGTTTTTATTATGTATTCGAAATGTTTTCAAAATATTTCAGAAATTTTTTTGAAACATTTTTGAAACGTTTTTAAAATTCTTCCAATTTTTCTATATTTTTGGTGACCGAAACAAATACATCGAAACGATTTTTTAATCCTTGCATAGCTAGATTCAAATGAAATTGAGTTCTCAAAAACTATGAGAGAACTTGTCTGCAGAATTATGATCTAAGAAGAAACAACATACACCAGCATCTTCCATTTATGCTCTTTAAGCTTCAAATAAATGAACAACGACATAACTGATTGTTCAACTCTTCCATTTTTCAGTCAATCAAGCTTATAACATTCGATCCGACAACGAAGGTAGTCTTCGGAAGAAGTTCAGAGCTGGTGATGGCATTCGATCTCTGAAGATAGGATGACGAAGATAATAGAACCCAAATGCCATTGCCACCATTTTTGACGGTACCAAATACAAAATAAATGCCACGACAAAACATAGTCCAACAAAAATCCCAGTGGCACGTGGGTCACGCCAGGTCACCAATGCTTGTACACGTTCGCCTTGCGTGGCAAAATCACCCAACACTGTCTGCACACGTGCACCAAGCATTCGTAGCTTGTCATACCTAGCGCGTACCATCTCATGAGGTCTAGTGCATGGCATTGTATCGAATTCTTCATCAAGCTCGTCGCGATCAATTGACTCAGCCAATGAGATTTTTGGATCAAAGTGGGGCAATGGCTCCCTTGACCGGAATCTATAATTCCATGCTCCAATCGTAAACACGTAAAATGCCAATGTGGGGACAATTAAATCAGGGAACCACACAAGCATCACAAACAATGCATGTACAAGCAGCGTAGCCGTTGAATTCTTCCATGCACGCGTGTCATTCACCCATTGTACCACATCAATCACCCCTGCGATTACATTGATAATTCTAAACCAATTGGCACGTACCTTTCGCATGCTGAACACGTGCGAATCTGCATTGAGCATGTATGTCACGACCTCACGTCCAAGTGGCGGCTCAGATCGTGACAAGTGTGCGACCATGATTTTGACAGTTGTGCTCCTCAACATATCTTGTTGGACCACATCAAGTGGCTTGATATGGTGCATGATGGGCAACACGGGTTGTGAGTACACGTGTAAGAAATCAAGTGTGGGAGTTACATGTGCGAATCGTACAACCAACTCTATTTCACCCATTTTCTTCAAACCAGCACGTGACAACAAAAGCAAGGGATACATACTTCTATATACCTTGCCAGTTGTCAATGTAGATATACGAATGCGTACCTTCCCTATACAAGAATCAGGACGCGTGGACTCCTTATCACCGTTGGATTCGAATACTTCCCAGTTATCAAAGACACCAATAGTCAACACAGTGGACGGATCATAGACTCTCCAAGTATACTGCTCATTCCATTTAGGCTCCAAAGTATCAGACACTATACGTGTCCTAATCCATTTGCTACCATACTTCGCCACAGCATAAGCATCAGTAGACCCCTTACCATTGATAGTCTTCATTGGGAGTAAGTTTTTGCATCCAATGATCCCAAGCTCAACCGTTCCTATTGGGGGTTTCCAAAGCTGCTTTGCGGTTGGACGATAATCGCTACACACGTGGGCCGCCTCGTCCATCACGTGATATCCACCGTCGAAACATAATCTTAGGTGGACCCTACCCTTGGACACTCTCTTTTCTTCATTTGGGCCTTCAAATGTGAACCATCTAGACACCACATTGCGATCATCAACACGGCGTTCAATGGAGGTGAGTGGTATGTTAGCAACGCCCACAACGACCGGTCCTTTCAGTTGCCGGTTTTCTATTAAGAAGAACATTAGGCTGTGGCCATCGAATGGCTCAGCAGCTACAAATAAGAGGTCTTCGTTCCATGACGGAGCTCCGTTACTTGTAACCGCGGATTTGGTCTTTTGGACTTGAAATCCCAACTGGGCTTTGACGTGGAATGACGATTCTTTTGACAGCGTTAACGGCAATATGTCCTGTGCTTCGATCACCGTGGATCTTAAATACCACAGTTTTGGTGATTGGTAGACTTTTGACCTGGAACCGGGATTACCGGCTGTGTCTGTCTTCCACGCGTCGGGAAATGATTCGTCAGCTTGGGTTCCGACCCACGTGGCCAGCATGAGATCGCCTTTGTGGGCTCCACCGCCTTCCAGCCTATACCATTGTGGGGCCAAGGGACTATCTGGTGGGTCCCGCAGTGGGATCTCAGTAGCGTCGAAGCATATCCCACCTAAGAAGTTATTCCCTGCCACGTCGGATTTGGGGCTTACGGGCATTAAACCCTGTGGGTCCCATACTGAGACTTCTAGGATTGAGGAAGAATCTGGTGCATCACGACCGAAAGCAAATGTCTGGTCCCACTCAAAAAAATTGTTTCTCCGAGCAGGCTTTGATACGACGTGGCTGCCGGAAACTGCAATCTTGATCACCGGACTGCCGGTGGTTGGAAGCGATCGGGCTTTTACTACACGGATGAAGAGGTAGTGCATTTTCTCGACAAGATCGAATGAGGACCGTTCGATCAGAATCCTATCGGACATATCGGATGAGAAGCTGGCAACTGATGCAGCTCGGCCGATTGGCTGAGGACCGCTAAAACTATTGACTTTGATTTCAGGTATTGATGCTGAGGCTATGGATGCCATCACCTGATCCGGACCCAGTTGTATTGGTTCTTGTGGGGTTGGTTCCACTGGATCAACACGTCCTTCGGGGGGTGGGTCGGCTGATTCTGGCTGTTTTTCAGCTTCAGGAGTGGCATTTTCCGGTTGTGGTGCAGCTTCAGCTGGTGGTGGCTCTTCCTTGGGTTTTGCATTTTCCACTGGTGGTTCCGCCGTGGTTTCCGCCGGAGGATCAGACTTTCCAGCATCAGTACCAGTAGTTGCTTCCCCACTTGGTGGCGGGCTAGATGCTGCTGGTGCCGCTTCAGCATCTGCAGGTAATGCTGGTGGCTCAGGTGACGGTGCTGCGTTTGCTTCTGGTGGTGGCGTTTGCGGCGGCGGTGGTGGTGCTGGGGGTGGCACAATCTCATCAACAAAATAAATCTTCAAACCAATCTCCCCTTGAATCCAACTAAACAATTTTTTCTTCTCCAAAGGATAATAGATCAAAGCCTCTTCACCTTTCCTCACAAACTGTCTCGAACTCAATCGAACTCTTCCCAGAAAATTATCCCTCGTCGTCGGTCCAACGTTTTTGTCATGATAAACATCGAGCTCGAGCATGTCACCGAACACATCCGAGGGTTTGCCAACATTAAACTCAAGCGTTTTGCTCCATACTGGATTCAAATCGCGAATCATGGTTCTTGTTTTCTTTCGCTGCCCGTAAAAGTCAAGAACTACGTAAGGGCTTGATGTTCCATGTCCGTCTTTCGGTAGAAGATTACGTGCGTCGGCGACTTCTACAATTAGTTTGCGAAATGTGGCCATGAAAATGGAAGCTTTTTGTGAGAAGTAGTCTGGTTAATTTGTTGGAACGGTGGCGACGATGAAATGGGTATCTTCACATTGCCTGGTATGGGAGTTTTTTTGGGCTTTTTGGTGGGAAGAAAGAGAGGTTTGTGTTTATGGAGAAGTTGGAGAAAGAGAAATTTAGGTTTGAAATGAGTTATATATTTTTTTTTGGGTTCAACCATTAGGGGTGATCAGATCTTTTTATTTATATCTTGACTAATCTTCTTTTTAATATAGTTAAAAATAAATCATTCACGCAAGAATTAAAATATTTATAAAAGATAAAATTATCATGTCCTGACCAATGAATTGCTAAAATTCAAATTCAGAGTGTCAAAATTTACAATCCATCTTTGTTACTATTTTAATTATCTCTTAGGGTTAAATGAGTTATATATTCAAGAATAATTCTTGACTTACTTAGAAGTTAGACCAAAAAATAAAAATTAAATGATATGATGTTAATATGATGAGTATAAAGGGCTTTTTTTTTTTTTTTTTGGGGGAGGGGGGTTGATGGTGATGGAGTTCTTAGCTGGAAGGTTTAAAGTGGGAAAGGGTGGGAAGGAGGAGATAAGAAAGGTGCATAACTTCATGGGCAAGCAGCTTTAAGCCATCCCTTGGTGCTAAATCTATCTCTGCTACTTTGCTTTGCTTGTTAAGATATAATACTTTCTCTTTACTGAAGATTCCCTTTCTCTTTTTTTCCTTTCAATAATGAGGTAAATTTTTAAGAATTTAATAGCATTTTTTTTCAATAATTTATATATAGACATACACTTTTTTCACTAAATTCGTACATTGATTTACTTTTCTTAGTGATACGTACGTTTTGTGATAAGATTTCATATCTTCACTAGTTTATTTATTTTCTTCAAACTCCAGCCAATATTATTAAGTTATTTTCATGCAAATAACTAACCTAAGTTTCTTTTAAGATTATTTATAATATTTTTAATTTTAATAATCTTAGTTTGCATTTTTTATTTTACATTTTTGTTTTGCATTTTCATAGTTTGCTTTCAAACTTAATTGCACGTATAGTGTTACACGCATGCGCTCAGATGACAATACTATTTGTATTAAGACGCATGTAGATAATTTTTTTAAAATAGTAATCAAATATGTTTTTACTTTTTGATGAAATTATTTATTTCGCTTAAATAAAAGTATTTCGAATATTTATTGTCAAACCCTACAATTAATCCCTAATTGTTTTAACTTTTGACAATGGATCTTTAATTATGTGCAACTCAACTCTTTCATATATGATTTTTGGTCCCTAAACTTTTGTTTACTTTCCTGGGTTTGAAGAGTTTTGTTCATATTATATTTCACTAAACTTAACATAAAAGATATATTCATAAAGGTATCTAAACTATGATCAAGTCAATGTCAATCAATAGAATTTGCAGAAATCAAGTTCATTGCAACATATACGTTGATGTAGAAAATTAGTTGCCAATCGAAAATTCAAGAAAACCGTAAAAGCATATAGAAAAAGAACTTTAGGGGTCAAGAAAATACTGGTATAGTGTCGACTTAATATTCTCCTATGCCCAAGTTAGCCTAAGTGAAGTTTCAAAAGGAACTTAGATGATATAGTGTTTTTTTTCTGTTGTGATTAGCATTCGATAAGAGAAACGAATCAACCATTTATTTTGTTGCTTGTATTTGCTTCTTGGGATAATACTTTTCTTTTTCTACTTTGTCAGTGTATAGCCAATATACCTTGAGGCTTGAGAGAGAGAGAGAGAGAATGGCAATCTTACAGGCATTTGATGAACCTTATGCCACCACTGAACGGTTTGCTTTTTGAAAAAGATGACTATCTTTTGTGTCACCGTCCACATTTTTGGTCGCCCTAACTTTTTTATCTTTTCAACAAAGAATGAAGACTTATTTGATAAAGCAATTCGACAATCACTATATATACCTTTCTCGTAATTCCATGAATCTGTGTTTGTTTGGACGCGTAAGTGTCGATCCAATCCAGTTAGAGCATCTTCAACGTTGATTGAAATTTGAATAAAAAAATTTGATTTAATACAAATGATTTCAATAAACAAATTCAAATTTAAAAATGGGGGAAACATATTTATTGGATTTTTACGGGAGAATTAAATCTTACCATTAGTGATTTGAGTAAAAGTTTGAGTTTCTCTTAATTTGGGTAAAAGTTTTAGTCTTCTTTAATTTTATGTGAATTTAGGTATAAGATAAGAGAATGTTTTTGAGTTATTTTTACTCAAAAATTTAGGTCTGGGTCTAAAAAGAATAAAGAACGAAGATGTTTTTAGATATTTAATTGTAAGGCGTGTAGACCGATATCATTTAGTACACATAAATTGTTAAATGGAGAAAAAATATTAAATATGACAAAAAATTCAAATCATATTGANGATATTTAATTGTAGGGCATGTAGACCGATATCATTTAGTACACATAAATTGTTAAATGGAGAAAAAATATTAAATATGACAAAAAATTCAAGTCATATTAAATCGTTGAGAAATGGCATCGGTGAAGTCGAGACATTTTTTGATCATTTGCATGAATTGAATGAAAATTGTAGTTTATAGTGAAATACAAAATATTATCTGAACGAAAAATGTCAAATCGAATACGATTAAACTGAATGATATGAATATTGACCGATATTTTAAACTGTGAATACATACTTCCACTGGTTGGGAACAGTTCGACAGATTCTAGNAATATTGACCGACATTTTAAACTGTGAATACATACTTCCACTGGTTGGGAATAGCTCGACAGATTCTGGGCAAAGAGTTATCACATAGATTTTTCTTATTAGAAAAAATTGTCTCAATTAGGTGTAGTTTTAGACTTTTGGTTCCATTGTGAATTCCAAATGTATGTTCATACTAAAAAATGTTATATTATATTAAGGGTTTCATGTTTTTATTTTATCTTCCTGTGGTTTGACCAAGTAATGTATCATTATTATGGATTATACTTCTTAATTTAGGATTTAATATACGATAACAAAATAATGAAAATAAGACGCAAAAGAATCACCTACAAGAACACAAATTTATCTGAAAAAACCCAAGATATGTAACTCATGGAACCATACCAAATTCACTATGAAACGAGTAAAATACTGAGAGATACAAAAAAGACTATCCTAATTGTTATTTCATACAAACAACTGTGATGTAATTACAATTGTAGTTGTAAGAGGCAAAAAATTAAGAATACCTCCCACAGGAATTGAAAAATTGATGTGTTTATGAACTCGATCTTTCAGTTTTTTCTTATCTACAAAACGAACAAATTGTCCAAGATCGAAGGCACTCCAATGCTTAAGTCAGTAAAAATACTGGAATGAATGGAAGAAGACCAAGAGAGTTCAGCATACTTTTCACCTTGGTTCCTTTGGATTTTTATAAATCATTACCCCATTAGGGTTTCCTTGATTTTTGGTTCAAGGTGACACACATTTCTTCAATCTTGCGTTTCAGTTTGGGAAGTTGCTGATATTTCTCCAATAATCCCTCCTGATATCTTCAATTTCGTTGATTTGTTTATCTAAATGCCTAAGTTATAGGCGAATTTCCACCTTTCTGTCTATCATTTCAAACAACTTGGGCATAATAAGGGCCGAACTGATTGATCAACTCGATTTGGTACAAGCCTAGCTATTTTGTTGCCTTGTCGAACATATTAATGAACTCGATTGGGTACAGATATTGCTTCACCGAACACATTGATTTGTTCGACTAAGACTTTTTGATCGAGCAATTGATGCCTTCATGTCTTGTCATCCTCACATGACCTCATTAATTTCTATAACACGTATAATAATGGGGGCTAACCTCTTCAATAGCTTATACCAAGCATGTCAAACGTGGCCTAGATTTAGGCATAATAATCGATCTTAGAATTTGTATATAAGCAATCATGTATAGTTGGTGAAGTCCCAAACTCTATAAAGAGAGTAAATAATCCTTATGTTTAGTTTTTCAAAATGAAATATGTCAAACTTATAACTGCACTTGTATCATGAATTCTATTTTGGGATCGACAACTCTTTAACCATTCGGACAAAATCACATTAATATCCTAATTACCTAAAATCTGGGCGACCACAAATGAAACTCACATTGTATGTTTAACATCTTTAGTTGGCTTTGAATTGCTTCACTAGGCAAGTGCTATTTGTAAGAGCTTTTATGTTTGCATATGCATGCCCATGGCTAAAGAATAGCATGGCCTACGTACGAGAATGAAGTCTAAGTTATGAGAAGTGACAGACAGATTTCGGAAAGTTCTTCGCTGTCTGAACAAGAATGAAGTCTAAGTTAATCCAAGGCCGGTTCTATTGTGAGGCTATTAAAGCTTGGTTTTAGGCTCTATTTTTCTAATTAGGCCCCATTTTTTGTAATTATAATAACCACTAGCCTAAATAAAAAAAAATTAAGCCAAATAATAAAATTAAAGTTATATTTAAATTGAACAGTTTGGGTCTATTTCTCCAACCCATGACATCAAAAATATCACAAAAAAATTTTAAAAAACCAAAAAAAAAAAATAACTGTAAAAAGTGAACTTTTCAACACTTTCTCTCAACACTTGTGTGTGTGGGGAAGACCAACAGATTCCTGCTTCCATTTTATCTATCTCTCTCTCTCTCTAGCTAGCAAAGGTCAACTAATCTATTTTTTTTGTTTATTTTGATCGTCTGCCTTTATTTATTTATTTATTATTTTTATANATATCTTCAATTTCGTTGATTTGTTTATCTAAATGCCTAAGTTATAGGCGAATTTCCACCTTTCTGTCTATCATTTCAAACAACTTGGGCATAATAAGGGCCGAACTGATTGATCAACTCGATTTGGTACAAGCCTAGCTATTTTGTTGCCTTGTCGAACATATTAATGAACTCGATTGGGTACAGATATTTCNTTTTAATAATAAAAGACCTCTTTTTTTAATTGTCGCTTTAGATACCAAAATATCACAGTCACCCTGGTTTAATCCAATGTTTTAAGCCAAAAAAGAAGCTTTTATGACACTTCACAATCATTTATCTATTTTATTCTACTATTGGAGGTATATGCCTAATTTTTCATAATTTGCTTGATTTTTTTAGTAATTTCAGTATGTGAAACTTTTCTATTATATTAGGTTGTAAACATTATTTAACAGCTTGTCACATTTTGATAATACTCTCTCTCTCTCTCTGCATCAGACCTTCTCTTCCGGATTCATCTAATGTGAAACCAAGAATGGGAATGACCTTGAAGGTAGGCTGGACCACACTCAGAAGCCTTCTTGTGGAAATGGGCCCCCCAAGTTTAGGAAATTGTGTTTTAATACTTTTATTTTTTGGATAATTGATCGACAAGAGATGAAGAGACTGCTGGATTGACTCCTTTAAATTTTAGATCTTTTCAATATGTGGTCCCCCTCAATCCAATATTGCATTTAGATCCATTATTTGTTGAACTACAAGATTTGAATTTCTAACATCACCCATAGTCTCATTTTGGAAATTACAACAAGAGGATAACTATATCTCAACAACCCTCCTTAGCTTCTAATTGCTCGTAGGTGGAGGCAGGGATGAAACCAAAATTTTAATGCAAATACAAGTAACACACAAATTTAGAGTGGTTCGGTCAGGGTGACCTACTCCACTTTAAAGGCAACAACAGTTGCCATAAGACTTTACTGATAAAGTAGTCGATGGTAAAGAGAAAGAGTAAGCTCTAAATGTAGAGAGATGGAGAGATGTGTTGTCCCCCTTATGTGCAAAGGGCTTACAATTTATAGGCATAGAACCTTAGTGAAGGCGATGACGTGAAGGAATAGATGACTAGTCCTTTGGAGTGGATATGTACAATTAAAGATATGTGTAATTTTCGAGAGTAACTATCTTGATAATTATTTTCTACGTGCACTGATCTTCTTGAACTCTATGAATTTTGGACTACCCAAATCCACGAGTTGGACTTAACCTACTTTGTAGCTAATTTGGACTCCGTGAATTGGCTTGACTCAGTTGGATATGGGCTCATCAAATGACACGGCCAAAAATTTATTCATGAGAGCAATCGTTATGTTATTGTTAATATCAAATTATTAATTGTATAAACTTATCGAAATTAATTGTTGTATTATATCATATGAAAATTAGTTTGAATCATAATATCTAACAACATATTCGTACTTACAATCATAAAAATTAATATGTGACAATGTCAAAGGTCCACATATTTTCTTACTTATGACATGATGTAATAATTATATATAAATTATCATCTTGAATCTTAGTTTTACACGACACTTTTGACAAATTAATCATTAGTGCATTGTTTATCATACAAGGAACTTTCTTCCTTTTTTTCTTTGATCATCAAAGTGATTTTTGCAAATATATTTGTCCGTAAAACAAGCACTCATCCACGTGATTAGCATTAATCATTTGGTATGAGTAGAAAGGAAAATGCAGATGGTAACGAGAAAGATTCTGACACTGATTTAGAGATACCCAAGAGGCCAGATTCTAGTTGAAATTGTTGGGGTTTTTTTTGTGGAGTTTAGTTTGTGTGCGATTTGGATGATGACCCGACCCGAAAACTATTGCGTGGTTTTTTAATGAAAATTTTCTGAGACTTAGTTCATGGAGCGGAGGTTTTTGAGCTTGTTTTGTAGTCCTGTGCGCAAGATATATATTAGTTGTTATTCGGTGATTAGGATTTTTTTTTTATTGATATTGAACGCCGTCGCCCTCTCTATATTATTTTTTGAGAATAGTAAAATTCCTGTAGTATTGTAGACGTAAGTAATTTGTCGAATTACATAAATTCTGTATTGTGTAATTGTTTAAATTATATTCTTTATCGTTCTATTTATTAATTTTATTTTATTCTCGTCATTTGACTTCACAACAGAAATAAGGTGGCACACCCTTTCCCAAGACTCCCGTCTCAAAAGGTGTCGGTCTTAAAAAATAAACGATGGGTAACATGATTCTCATTTTATAAAAATGAATTTTCAAACTGGAATTTATCATTAGCACATGTCATTGCTCTAGATTCCACCTCGAGGCCAGGTCCTCACTCTTTCCTCTCTTTTTGGCGATGATTTGCCAGCCTGATAGGACAGTTCCTTCTGGCCAGGTCCTCTGGCTTGGGAGAGCTGGTCATAGTTGTGTTGCTTATCCGTCCCCTTCGATTTCGACTTCTGCTTTGACTTTGAGAGCTTGCTTGATTTTGTTTCGTGATATTGTCAGGTAGAGTTAGGAAAATGTCAAGCCAACAACAGGGAGATTGTATGTTAAAATACAANTTTGATCATCAAAGTGATTTTTGCAAATATATTTGTCCGTAAAACAAGCACTCATCCACGTGATTAGCATTAATCATTTGGTATGAGTAGAAAGGAAAATGCAGATGGTAACGAGAAAGATTCTGACACTGATTTAGAGATACCCAAGAGGCCAGATTCTAGTTGAAATTGTTGGGTTTTTTTTGTGGAGTTTAGTTTGTGTGCGATTTGGATGATGATCCGACCCGAAAAATATTGCGTGATTTTTTAATGAAAATTTTCTGAGACTTAGTTTATGGAGCGGAGGTTTTTGAGCTTGTTTTGTAGTCCTGTGCGCAAGATATATATAAGTTGTTATTCGGTGATTAGAGTTTTTTTTTTATTGATATTGAACGCTGTCGCCCCCTCTATATTATTTCTTGAGAATAGTAAAATTCCTGTAGTATTGTAGACGTAAGTAAATTATCGAATTATATAAATTCTGTATTGTGTAATTGTTTAAATTATATTTTTATCGTTCTTTTTATTAATTTTATTTTATTCTCGTCATTTGATTTCACAACAGAAATAAGGTGGCACACCCTTTCCCAAGACTCCCGTCTGAAAAGGTGTCGGTCTTAAAAAATAAACGGGTAACACGATTCTCATTTTATAAAAATGAATTTTCAAACTGGAATTTATAATGCATCATTAGCACATGTCATTGCTCTAGATTCCACCTCGAGGCCAGGTCCTCACTCTTTCCTCTCTTTTTGGCGATGATTTGCCAGCCTGATAGGACAGTTCCTTCTGGCCAGGTCCTCTGGCTTGGGAGAGCTGGTCATAGTTGTGTTGCTTATCCGTCCCCTTCGATTTCGACTTCTGCTTTGACTTTGAGAGCTTGCTTGATTTTGTTTCGTGATATTGTCCGGTAGAGTTAGGAAAATGTCAAGCCAACAATAGGGAGATTGTAAGTTAAAATACAAAGATCACCGCTTTATATTAAGGAGGGCAATGTTATTGTAACCTAATTTAGTATTAATTTAATTTATTGATCTAATTTATTATAGTTAGTAGTTTGATTGTGAGCTCTATCAAATATTAAAAATTAATATTAATCTAACAGTTATAATAAAATTACATCATTAGGTCAACAGATTAAGCTAGATTTTTAGGTACAAAGCTTCTACTCCGAGCGCNATAGGAACAATGATGATGATGCACAAAAATGGATTTTGTGCACCACCTGTAGAGTAATTAATATAGATAATAAATGTAATAAATATAAGGATGAGAACAATACAAGTAACAAACAAATTTAGAGTGGTTCGGTCAGAGTGACCTACTCCACTTTAAAGGCAACAACAGTTGTCATAGGACTTTACTGATAAAGTAGTCGATGGTAGAGAGAAAGAGTAAGCTTTAGATGTGGAGAGATGGAGAGATGTGTTGTCCCCCTTATGGGCAAAGGACTTACAATTTATAGGCATAGAACATTAGTGAAGGCGATGGCGTGAAGGAATAGATGACTAGTCCTTTGGACTTAACCTACTTTGTAACTAATTTGGACTCCGTGAATTGGCTTGACTCAGTTGGATATGGGCTCATCAAATGACACGGCCAAAAATTTATTCATGAGAGCAATCGTTATGTTATTGTTAATATCAAATTATTAATTGTATAAACTTATCGAAATTAATTGTTGTATTATATCATATGAAAATTAGTTTGAATCATAATATCTAACAACATATTCGTACTTACAATCATAAAAATTAATATGTGACAATGTCAAAGGTCCACATATTTTCTTACTTATGACATGATGTAATAATTATATATAAATTATCATCTTGAATCTTAGTTTTACACGACACTTTTGACAAACTAATCATTAGTGCATTGTTTATCATACAAGGAACTTTCTTCCTTTTTTTTTTTTTGATCATCAAAGTGATTTTTGCAAATATATTTGTCCGTAAAACAAGCACTCATCCACGTGATTAGCATTAATCATTTGGTATGAGTAGAAAGGAAAATGCAGATGGTAACGAGAAAGATTCTGACACTGATTTAGAGATACCCAAGAGGCCAGATTCTAGTTGAAATTGTTGGGGTTTTTTTTGTGGAGTTTAGTTTGTGTGCGATTTGGATGATGACCCGACCCGAAAACTATTGCGTGGTTTTTTAATGAAAATTTTCTGAGACTTAGTTCATGGAGCGGAGGTTTTTGAGCTTGTTTTGTAGTCCTGTGCGCAAGATATATATTAGTTGTTATTCGGTGATTAGGATTTTTTTTTTATTGATATTGAACGCCGTCGCCCTCTCTATATTATTTTTTGAGAATAGTAAAATTCCTGTAGTATTGTAGACGTAAGTAATTTGTCGAATTACATAAATTCTGTATTGTGTAATTGTTTAAATTATATTCTTTATCGTTCTATTTATTAATTTTATTTTATTCTCGTCATTTGACTTCACAACAGAAATAAGGTGGCACACCCTTTCCCAAGACTCCCGTCTCAAAAGGTGTCGGTCTTAAAAAATAAACGATGGGTAACATGATTCTCATTTTATAAAAATGAATTTTCAAACTGGAATTTATCATTAGCACATGTCATTGCTCTAGATTCCACCTCGAGGCCAGGTCCTCACTCTTTCCTCTCTTTTTGGCGATGATTTGCCAGCCTGATAGGACAGTTCCTTCTGGCCAGGTCCTCTGGCTTGGGAGAGCTGGTCATAGTTGTGTTGCTTATCCGTCCCCTTCGATTTCGACTTCTGCTTTGACTTTGAGAGCTTGCTTGATTTTGTTTCGTGATATTGTCAGGTAGAGTTAGGAAAATGTCAAGCCAACAACAGGGAGATTGTATGTTAAAATACAAAGATCACCGCTTTATATTGACAAGGCAATGTTATTGTAACCTAATTTAGTATTAATCTAATTTGTTGATTTAATTTATTATAGTTAATAGTTTGATTATGAGCTCTATCAAATATTAAAAGTTAATGTTAATCTAACAGTTATAATAAAATTACATCATTAGGTCAACAGATTAAGTTAGATTTTTAGGTCTTAATCTTAAAAAGAAAATAACTTAAATCGAAATATTTAATAACATAATGATATATTTATACAAAGCTTCTACTCCGAGCACTTGTAATAGAGCCGTAGACAATCAAGTGAAATCTAATCCACTCTAGTAACAATACCAAATGTTTTTTGTACCAAGTCCACTCTCCCTACACCCTCGATTAAGACAGATTAATTACCCATTGCTTTGTTGATGGCTTGTTCGGGCTGCATGTATGATATCACTATTTCTATAAAAATCATATTATTCAGACATAATTTCTTAACATAATTCACTACTGCTATTGAATTAACAATGGACTTAATCTAACAATGGAATTTGTTGCTAATCCAATGATTGCAATAGTTTAGGTTAGTAAACTAGATCACCAAGTTAAGTCCAACTAATATTGCACTTTTTATAATTATACCCTCTCGCACATTCAAAAAGACGATGAAGCACCACAAATCATACAATTTTAATGTCTGGCTGAATGGATATTATTGATTTTAATCAATGCTTTCAACGAGACACTTATGTGATTTTTACCCTTTTTTGCACAATTTTTTTTGTTTGGTTACTTCGTTTGAGGGTTTCTTGTGTTATATGCTATCAATATAAAGTAGGAAACTGCATTTGGAATATGACTTGGCTTTGATCATACTTATGAAATATGACACACCTGAGGCTGAGTAATTCACAGTACATCATACCAGTAAGTTGAGTGAAATAAGAAAAAAACATAACTTAGCATAGAATCTCCTCATCAAACGTCCATGCCTACATGTAGTGGTCTACCATTCCTTGAAGATAACAAAAGCATATAAAATGCATGATTTATTCCGAGTGAGATCCTGTCCGTTTCATCTTTCCTCCATTTCTCTTCTTGGTAGATCACCTATCCAGAATTCAAGTGGGACTCATATTGTATAAAGAAATTGAGAAAAAAAGTACTGAAGGGAATATAGAACCGTCATTACAGATATTATACTTATCTATACATGCTCCCTCTAGTGGTTTGCAAAAATACCATTTTTCAATTGGAACAAGCTTAGTAAATACTGCTTGGTGTACATGTGTTATACTTATTGATTTTTGGGGGTTGGAAAACTAACAACATTAAGATATGAGCCCAAATATACTACTACTGACCCTTAATAGTTTCCACCTCAACATATTTGTAAGGTTGTCAAAGAGGCAGGGTGTTGCCTGCACATGTGAGCTGCAACTATAACCTACCTTGCTTTCTAGGTGAGATGATAGTTTTGGCTTGTGGGTCGCATATGCATACAACATTGCTGCACATTCCAAAAGTTTATCAATGTACATGGTTGGATCAATAGATCCCATTCGGAAAAGTAAATAACACCTTTTATATCCGATCATCCACATTGATTTGATCAGATGCAAAATTTGGTAAAGCAGGATGCACATCATTACTTATGTTGATATCAACACAACGTTATTGCGATGCTAGATCAATGGAGGGAATGAGATTGATTCCTAAGAGGAGACGTAAAATCCGGTTACTCGACTATCTTTCTAACTCCTAGTAATTCCACCTGAGCACCCATCAGAAAAAATTCGATCAAATGTTGTCGATTCTTCAAGTCAAGGNACTTTTGACAAACTAATCATTAGTGCATTGTTTATCATACAAGGAACTTTCTTCCTTTTTTTTTTTTTGATCATCAAAGTGATTTTTGCAAATATATTTGTCCGTAAAACAAGCACTCATCCACGTGATTAGCATTAATCATTTGGTATGAGTAGAAAGGAAAATGCAGATGGTAACGAGAAAGATTCTGACACTGATTTAGAGATACCCAAGAGGCCAGATTCTAGTTGAAATTGTTGGGTTTTTTTTGTGGAGTTTAGTTTGTGTGCGATTTGGATGATGATCCGACCCGAAAAATATTGCGTGATTTTTTAATGAAAATTTTCTGAGACTTAGTTTATGGAGCGGAGGTTTTTGAGCTTGTTTTGTAGTCCTGTGCGCAAGATATATATAAGTTGTTATTCGGTGATTAGAGTTTTTTTTTTATTGATATTGAACGCTGTCGCCCCCTCTATATTATTTCTTGAGAATAGTAAAATTCCTGTAGTATTGTAGACGTAAGTAAATTATCGAATTATATAAATTCTGTATTGTGTAATTGTTTAAATTATATTTTTATCGTTCTTTTTATTAATTTTATTTTATTCTCGTCATTTGATTTCACAACAGAAATAAGGTGGCACACCCTTTCCCAAGACTCCCGTCTGAAAAGGTGTCGGTCTTAAAAAATAAACGGGTAACACGATTCTCATTTTATAAAAATGAATTTTCAAACTGGAATTTATAATGCANCAAGCACTCAAATTCTCAATCTGCACAAAATGATATACATCAAATAGTGGAGAGAAGAAAGAAAATTATATAAAACCAACAAAATGGTACATGTGGACAATCACATGATAGACAGGTCATACTGTGCATAAAATAATGAAAAGCTGGTGGGTTTTGGAGGTTATGTTGTTGTCTTGTTCTGAGGCTTTATGAAGAGGGGAGAGAGTGTGCTGATGCTTTTACAGGGTATGACTGAGGAAAAGAGCACTGAAGATAACGAGGACGACCAACTGCGAAGGGAAGCATGGAAGGGGACATTTAGGCCTGGCTCAAGTGAATTTTAAGATGAAAAAGTTGGATTCACAAGAAAAGCTAGATACCTATAACACCAAGGATGATATCAGCACCCACTACTTCTGTCTGCGTGTGTGAGAGAGAGAGAGAGATCCCAAAACACCAAACTTAGTAGAAAATGAGAGAAGAGAGACACCCACTAAAGAATCCTACCTGACCAAGCTAAGAAAAAAGCACTACC